AAAGAAATGAAATAAATAAATGAAATAACTAAATCAAATAAAGGAGGGGTTCATTGCTGCATCTTCCCAAGACAAGGAGCAAGTACTTAAAGCCAGCAAAAAGGGATTTGGGATTTTTTTTTTTAACATTTTGCTTTTTTCCCCTTACTCTCCTTTCAGCAATCATCATTTTACCAGCTCCTGCAGGCGGGCTGGCCGGTGAGTGCAGCTTTGGGTCACTTTGGGTTTGGATTTTTCCTTGTGAGTTCTCTTTGCTCCAAGCACTCGATGGGTTTGACCGATGCTTTTCTTTTTAATTCAGAGAAAACCCGGAGCCCCCGGGCCTCCAGGACATCCTGGGAAAACAGGAGCACCTGTAAGTACSCAAACCCTGCTGGCCCTGCTTGGGGTGTGGATGTCCCCAAGCCCTGGGGCCRTGGCTGCTGCTGTGCTGTAATTAARGCCTTTGGGATTGGGTTTCAAAGCAGCCTAATGGATTTCTTGTCCCTTCCTGCTGAAATCTGGGATGTTTGATATCCAACTCCCAGGGTTTTCCTGGCAGTCCCAACCCCTGTGTCCCTGCCAGCTGAGCAGGACTGGCTTCATTTCCTGGGCATTGAGTTCCAGCTCCTGTTTTTGGATGAGGGACCATGTGGATCCCTCCCAGAGGCACCAAAGCAAGGCAGGGAGGGGCTGGGGCAGGGTTTGTGTGGGGTCAGCCCGTGCTGAAGGGTCTCAGCCCCATGCCCAAACCCCAGCATTGCTGGGGGATGCTTCCCCCACATTTGGCCATAAAGGAAATGGCAAAACTCCCTCTTGTGTCCTGACATCCCATCAGGAACCAAAGCAGCAGGAAAATGGATCTGCTCCAACCCCAAACCACCCCGGGCACACAGCCTGGCATGGTGGGTGTGCCAGGGATGTGAATCCTCCCTCTCTGCCCTTCCCAARGCAGATCTGGGCATTGCTCCTTGTCCTCACAGTCTGCCGGGTTTCGGGGCAGGATGGGGGGACACCATGGGTGACACAATTCCTGTTTGTGCCCAGGGACCCTGCGGAGCACCGGGAGAGCCGGGGGAGAAGGGCCAGCGGGGGTACGCGGTGAGTGGGGGGGGTTGGGAACATTTTGGAAAGCTCTGGGACCCTGGGGAACCCTGACCCCTTGGCTGGGTGAGGGAGAGAGGTTTGGGGGCAGTTTGGGAATGATGGGCCTGGTTTGGGGTGATGGGATTGAAGGGATTGATGGCCTGGTGCCCTCCCAGACCCCGCTGTCCCCTCCAAGACCCCATTGTCCCCTCCAAGACCCCACTGTCCCCTCCCAGACCCTGCTGTCCCCTCCAAGACCCCATTGTCCCCTTCCAGACCCCACTGTGCCAGGCAGGGTCACCCCCCTGCTGTGGCCCCCCTTGTCCTGAGCCTGCAGCACCCAGCTCAGCACAGCTCCTTTGGGTGTAGGGACCCCAAAACAGCTGTCCCAGGGTCCTTTTGTCACCCTCTGGAACCCCCAGCCCTGGAAGGGAGGGGTGAGCTCTGCCAGGGCTCTGTCCCCATGGGATCCCATCTCCCCTGGGACTGACCAGCTCAGCCCCCAGGGGRTTTGGGTGCCCTGTGGGAACAGGGGAAGGGGAGCAATGTCCCACTGTCCCTGCATCACTGGGGCTTTGCTCCACACTGCTCTGGAATTGGGGATTCCATCCTGTCTGAATTTGGGATTCCACCCTGCCCAAATTGGGGATTCCATCCTGCCTGAATTTGGGATTCCACCCTGCCTGAATTGGGGATTCTATCCTGTCTGAATTAGGGATTCCACCCTGCCCGAATTTGGGATTCCACCCTGCCCGATTTGGGGATTCCACCCTGCCTGATTTGGGGATTCCACCCTGCCCGATTTGGGGATTCCACCCTGCCTGAATTGGGGATTCTATCCTGTCTGAACTGGGAATTTGCACTGAGCTGAGTGCAAATTCCTGGCTGAAGGCAAAGCTGCCCTGAAGCTTTAGCTGATGATGGTTCTTTAGCTGGTGATGGATCCTGAGATGGATCTGCCACAGCTCCTGCACTGGGAAAGGGTCAGGAGTGGCTTTGAGCTGAGCAGCYGATGCAGGAGGCTCTCCCTCGACCTTCTCCCTCTGCACTGCTTTTTCTCTGCCCTCTGTATTCCTTCCTGCCAGTTCCAGAAATCCCAGAGTTTCGGTGGAGAACCTGGACAGATCCACGTGCCCAACCTGGATGCAGGAAACCTTTCCCCAGTTCCTGGCTGTGTTGCTGCCAGGGCCAGAAGCAGTCACAGCTCAGTGTTTCATTTACCGCTTTCATTAAATGGGGATTTTAAACAGTTTTCRCCTTCATAAAACAGGGATCTGTAAAATTTTCCACACTTGGATTTCTCTCCCCAGGGGGAACCCGGGCTCCAGGGCTTGCCAGGACGTGTGGGGTACCCTGGCTCTGATGGATTCCCTGGCCTTGATGGCAAACCTGGGCCATGGGGGCTGCCAGGGGAGCAGGTGAGGTGTGGGCAGGCAGGACAGGGAGCTTTGGGATCGGGAAAAGCTGGAGCTGCAAACCCCAGACACGGCTGGGGAATGTTTGGGATCAGGAAAAGCTGGAGCTGAAAACCTCAGGCAGGACCAGGGGATGTTTGGAATCGGGAAAAACTGGAGCTGCAAACCCCAGGCAGGACCAGGGGATGTTTGGGATCAAGAAAAGCTGGAGCTGCAAACCCCAGGCAGAGACAGGGAATGTTCAGGATCGGGAAAAGCTGTAACTCCAAATGCCAGGCAGGGCCAGGGAATGTTTGGGATTGTAAAAAGGTGGAGCTTCAAACCCCGGGCAGGGCTGGGGAATGTTCAGGATGAGGAAAAGCTGGAGCTTCAAACCCCAGGCAGGAGACAGCGAGTTCCTAAAGCCATTCCTCCTTCTCTTGCCTCCTTTAGAATATTTCTCCTCAGCCCCCAAACCAGGCAGTCCTGGATTAGTGCCCCGAAGTTTTTTTTCAGGACAAAAAGGGCTGTGAATCATCCCAGAGGTGCATTAAGGATCTGGGATCACCTCAGTTCCAGGGTCATGGTGGCTCTGGGTGGCACAAGGGCTGGGCTGCTGCACCTGGACCCTTTTGTGGAAAATACCAAAAATCACGGAATGGTTTGGGTTGGAAGGGACCTTAAATCCCATCTCATTTCACCCCTGTGACATTTCTAGGAGAGAAAGAAGGCTGCTCTCATGGAGACCTCCCATAGAACTGGGAAACATCCAGGAGAGGGTTGGAAAAGGATTTAAAAGGAAAATGGAAGTGTTTTGGTGGTGAACTGATGCATTTCCAACATGAAAAGAGTCAGGGAGCTGGAGCTGNGGCAGGGCTGGGGAATGTTCAGGATGAGGAAAAGCTGGAGCTTCAAACCCCAGGCAGGAGACAGCGAGTTCCTAAAGCCATTCCTCCTTCTCTTGCCTCCTTTAGAATATTTCTCCTCAGCCCCCAAACCAGGCAGTCCTGGATTAGTGCCCCGAAGTTTTTTTTCAGGACAAAAAGGGCTGTGAATCATCCCAGAGGTGCATTAAGGATCTGGGATCACCTCAGTTCCAGGGTCATGGTGGCTCTGGGTGGCACAAGGGCTGGGCTGCTGCACCTGGACCCTTTTGTGGAAAATACCAAAAATCACGGAATGGTTTGGGTTGGAAGGGACCTTAAATCCCATCTCATTTCACCCCTGTGACATTTCTAGGAGAGAAAGAAGGCTGCTCTCATGGAGACCTCCCATAGAACTGGGAAACATCCAGGAGAGGGTTGGAAAAGGATTTAAAAGGAAAATGGAAGTGTTTTGGTGGTGAACTGATGCATTTCCAACATGAAAAGAGTCAGGGAGCTGGAGCTGYCTGAGRGGGCACCGAGCAGCTGACRGGGAGAAATGTGAAAAATGATGTGAGGGAAAAGGGAATTCGGGGTGAAAGAGAGAATCAAAGCAAAAATGGYAWTTTTTTGTCTCTCCTGCTTCAGGTCTAACCTTCCATTAGAGCAGGTTGCTCTGAGCCCTCGAGGGCTCAGGACTCAGAGGGTGCCCAAACAATGGGAGCTGTTATGGAATAYCTGGATAATATTCCATCCAGGAATCTCATTGCTGGCTCCCTGCCCTTTCCCAGACYCCTGGGCTTGGCAGCTTTCTCAGAGGGGTTTAGAAGACAAGGATTGAGACTTCGGGGTTCTCAGCAGCTGCTGGGCAGTGGGGAGCAGGGTTGGACACTGCTGGGAGGTGCCAGGCAATGGGGAGAAGGGCTGGACATGGCTGGGAGGTGCCAGGCAATGGGAGAGGGGCTGGACATGGCTGGGAGGTGCCAGGCAATGGGAGAGGGGCTGGACACGGCTGAGAGATGCCAGGCAGTGGGGAGCAGGGTTGGACACAGCTGGGACGTGCCAGGCAATGGGGAATGGGGCTGGACACGGCTGGGAGATGCCAGGCAATGGGAGAGGGGCTGGACACTGCTGGGAGGTGCCAGGCAATGGGGAATGGGGCTGGACACTGCTGGGAGGTGCCAGGCAATGGGAGAGGGGCTGGACACGGCTGGGAGGTGCTGGGCAATGGGGAGAGGGGCTGGACACGGCTGGGAGGTGCCAGGCAATGGGGAATGGGGCTGGACACGGCTGGGAGGTTGTGGCATGGGATGGGATGGGATCCATGGGATGGGATGGGATCCATGGGATGGCATGGCATGGGGAGCAGGGCTGGACATGGCTGGGGGGTGCCAGGCAGCCCCTCAGTGCCTGCTCTGCTCCTTCCTCTCTCTCTCCAGGGTCTCCAGGGCTTCCAGGGGGACCGAGGGCTGGCTGGTGACAAGGGAGAAGAGGTGAGCTGGCTCTGCCTTGCAGCCATGGGCACGGTGAGGTGCCAGCCCCAKCCCTGGCACAGTGCCAAACACCAACACCTTCCATTACTGGGACCACACCAGCCCCTCCCCAGGCTGTTCCAGGCCTTTATCAGCCAGGATAGAAAATGTCCTTTAAAAAGTGAATCTTGTGGTTCATCACGCTTTAATTTTTTTAATTTCTCTCCCCTGGCTTGGTCCTTTTAAGGCTGAAATTTATAGAGCTGCTCAGGAGATTTTTGGGCTTGTCCAAGGTCTGATCACCTTTGTGGGGTTTGGGACCTAAATTCATCTTTTTGAAGCAGCAGTCCCTCGTGGGTTATCAGATACCTTTTGTGGGCTACGCTTTGGATCCTCCCACCTGTGCAGAGCCCTGTCCCAGCCCTGTGTCACCAGGGAGGTGACACCGTGCTGGGCACCAGCAGCCAGGCTTTGCCCCATTTAGCACAACCTGGAGGGTCCCCACCCCCTGTCCCCCCTGATCGTGTCCCTTGAGGCACAACAGCCACATTTGACCTCTTTGTGATCCTTCCTTGTTCCCATTTCATCGCTGTTGTTCCATTTCAGGGTTTCTTGGGTGACCCTGGCCCRGCTGGGGACAAAGGAGAGAAGGGGGTGAAGGTGAGGGTGTCTGTCCCTGCCCCTCAGAGCCCTGCCTRCCTGGGCAGGGGGTCCCTCCTTCCCTGGCACGGCCCCCCAGCCCCAGGCTGTGCTTTTCTCCTCCATCTCTTGGCTCTTCCAGGGGGTGAAGGGAGAGAACGGGCTGCCAGGTCCTGCTGGGCTCCAGGTGAGTTACCTGGARGTGCCTCACCCCCTTCCCTCCATCCCCTCTGCTGACCCCTCTCTGTGACACCCCCGAGCTCCATCCCACCCTCTCCTGCCTTGGGCAAAGTCCTCGTGGTCCCTGTGCTGTCCCTGTGAGGGGTGGGACAAAGGCAGTGCCACCCCAGGGTGCTAACACCTCGTTCCTGGCTTCTCCCCCAGGGGCTGGCRGGGCTGAAGGGTGTCCTGGGCTTCCAGGGCCCTGCAGGGCCAGAGGTGAGTGCAGCCAYCTGCCCTCCCTGAGGGGTGAGGAGCCTGGGATCCCCGCTGGGAAAAGGGATCTGAGCAGGGAGGGTTTGGGGTTTTCATCCAGGAACGTYGGGGGTGGCTCCTGGCATTTCCCACTGGGATGTTTGCGCCCCTGTTCCAGCTGGGAATGGGGAGAAATGGGGTTTTCCAGAGTGCATTGGGATTTATTTTTGGTAATTATTTGTATTTTTATATTTCTATTATTTCTATTTTTATTATTTCCATTTCTATTTCTATTTCTATTTATTTGGCCGCTCCAGCTGGGGTGGATGCCAGGCTGGTATCTCCTGGTTTGTCCATGCTGCTCTCAGCTCAGTGCTCCCAGGTCACAGGGTGACATCCTCCTCTCCAGGAAAGGGTTGGGAAAGGGTTTTAAATGAAAATGGAAGTGGTTTGATGGTGAATGGATGCATTGTCCAACACGAAAAGAGTCAGGGAGCTGGAGCTGTCTGAGGGGGCACTGAGCAGCTGACGGGGAGAAATGTGAAAAATTATGTGAGGAAAAAGGGGAATTTGGGATAAAAGAGAGAATTAAAGCAGAAATGGATTTATTTTCTCTCCTGCTGCAGGGAGAAGGAGGCTCAGTGGGTCCCCCAGGCCCTGCTGGTCCCRTGGTGAGTTCCAGGGGGTTGGTGTYAATGGGAGTGTGGGAACACCCTGGGCAGGCTGGGCTGTGCCACCGGCCCCTGCCCGTTCATCCCTTGCTCTGATTTACACCTAAATATGATGAATTTGGTTAAAAACATCCCTGGGAGAAACTGCAAAAGGACTGATGGTGCTCAAACTCACCCAGCCAAGCCCTCCCAGTATCCCCAGTGCCAGGGGTCCCTGTCCCATCTCCCCTGGGGGGGCTGTAGGGCTGAGCTGGTGTTGCCTTGCAGGGAGAGCCCGGCCAGCCGGGATCTTTGGGGTGCCGAGGCATCAATGGCTCGCAGGTGGGTCTGCCCCAGTCTCCACCCTTTGTTTTTTGGGATTTTCCGGCTGCTGCACTCACCCCGCCCCTCCCCTGCTCTGTCCGCAGGGGGAAATGGGCCCTCCTGGTGTGCCCGGCCCTCGCGGCCCCAAGGTAGGGGATGCCAGGAGTGTGGGAACCTCCCAGGGATGGGGTGGGATGGTAGGGGATCCATAGGATAGGATGGGATGGCATGGCATGGCATGGCATGGCATGGCATGGCATGGCATGGCATGGCATGGGATCCATGGGATGGGATGGGACAAGACGAGACGGGACGGGATGGCATGGGATGGCATCCATGGGATGGGATGGGCTGGGATGGGATCCATGGGATGGGATGGGATTCTTGGGATGGGATCCATGGGATGGGATGGGATTCATGGGATGGGATGGGACAAGACGAGACGGGATGGGATGGGATCCATGGGATGGGATCCATAGGATGGGATAGGGACAGGGTGTCCTGGGATGGGAGGTGTCCCGAGGCTCACCCAGCCTGGAACGGTCTCCTCCAGCTGGGATGTGGTCCCAACCCACCCCAAAATCTGCAGGAGGCTGGGGCAGGGTGGGAATCCAATCCTTCCCATACCCTTTAGGGTGCCCTATGTCTGGGAGGTTTCMAGTGCTCCTCAGCAGCTGGGAACTCCCAGAAGAGGTTTGGCACTGATTTGATCCTAAATTGACCCTAACAGCAGYTCCCTGTCCCCCCTCTGCAGGGACCCCAGGGCTTGCAGGGCAGACGTGGCCCCCCTGGCCCCAGGGGCTCTCAGGTGAGTGGGTGCTGTCCAGGGTGGGTGCATCCCCCCGGTTCTCTCCCAGGAGCTGCGGGGATGTGTCCCCCATGTACCTCAGATGTGGACACAAAATCCTTGGGGGTCCTTGTGGCCCCACAGGAGCGGGTGGGTGGGAAAGGACCAAGGGTGACCTGATGGGGTTGGGCTGGGGTCTCATCCACAGGGCAGGACGGGAGTGACATCCCCCTTTATCCCAAAATCCCCAATCTTCGCAAAATCCCCCTTCTTCCCCACACCTCTCTCCTTCCCCACACTCCCTTTCTTCCCCTAATCCCCCTTCATTCCAACATCCCCAAAATTCCTTTTTCCCAAAATCCCATTTTCTTCCCCACATCCCACTTCTTCCCAATATCCCTCTCCTTCCCAACTTCCCCCTTCATCCCCACACCCCTCTCCTTCCCCACATCCCACTGCCTTTGCTTTCCCCAGGGTCCAGCTGGGATGGAGGGACCTGCTGGTCCCAAAGGAGACATGGTGAGAGCATTTCCTGGCTCTGGCATTGGTGGGGGTGAAGTCTAGGTTTGGGGGATTTCCTTGGAGGGACCTGAGCTGTGGGTACAGGGGATCCCTGTCCCTGTTTTTGGAGGGGAGAGGGGCAGCACTTCCAGCTGACTTCCCAAATGCCACCTGTAGGTCCCTGGGCACCCTGGGGAGGGGACATGGAGGGRCTGGGTGCTCTGTCAGCTCTCTGGGACAGGGACAGGAGCCAGGGAATGTCTGGAGATCAGGGAAAGGTTCTTGTGTCCCCAGAGGGTGCTGGCACTGCCCAGGCTCCCCAGGGAATGGTCCCGGCCCCGAGGCTGCCAGAGCTCCAGGAGCGTTTGGACAGCGYTGCCAGGGATGGACAGGGTGGGGCTGTTGGGGGGTCTGGGCAGGGACAGGGGCTGGGCTGGGTGATCCTGGGGGTCCCTCCAGCTCAGGACATTCTGTAACTCCAGGATTGTTCTTGCAGGGTACAGATGGTGCCCCCGGGGTGAGGGGACAGCTGGGACAGGAGGGCCCTGGGGTAAGTCCATGGTAAGGGGGTGGTTGGATATAGGGTGCTGTCATCCTCCCTCTCCCAGCCCCACAAAATCCTATGGGGATCCAGTTTCCCCATAGGGCTGATGGGGATGAGCCAAGTCCCTATGGCCACACTCCTCATCCCCAAAGCTCCTCTGACCCTCCTGCCTTCAAGGACTTCAATTTTTATTTTTTTCCTGATGGATTTGTGAGCAAGGCTGCCCCAGCCCTGCCGAGCCCTTCCCTGGGGCACCTTTTTCCCGGGGGTTTGGGTGCTGAGCTGCCCTTCCCAAAGGGGTGGGGCAGCCTGGCCCACGGTGTCCCTTCCCCATGTCCTGGGACCCCAACTCACAGAGCTGAGAGCTGGGGCTGGGAATGGGATGAGGGTTGTGGGGTGGGATGTGGGGGCTGTGTTTTGGAGTCTCAAGGACCTCATATCCTAGTCCTGAGGGCTGCCTTGGCAGGGTTTGTGCATCTTCTGACCCCTTTTTTGGGGATCGAATCCAACTGTGGCATCCCACCCAGCAGCAACTCTGCAGAGCCAAACTGGTGCCACCCAATTACGATCCCATGGATCCCATCCCATGTCCCATGGATCCCATCCCATCCCATCCCATCCCATCCCATCCCATCCCATCCCATCCCATCCCATCCCATCCCACTCCAATGTTGTGGCAGGCCTGTCCCCTCCAGCAGCACATGCAATATTTCCCTTGGGGTTTTTTTCTTTTTCACCTTGCATTTTCTCTCTCTCCAAAGGGTTTTCTTGGCCTGCCAGGTTCAAAAGGCCCCCAAGGAGAGCGGGTGAGTGATGGCACCCGTGGGATCCTGCTTGGGATGCAGGAGAGCTGTGGCAGAGCACCCCTAAGCTGCAGCTCCGTGCTCTTTACGTGTCTGATGTTTGAATTGCTGCCAGCTGGAGCTGCTTGGGAAGGCAGAGCTGAGCTTGGGCTTCTTTCCTGTCCAAAGAGGAGTTTTCAGGCTCGGGAGTGTCCTTAGGGGAGGCTCAGGGGGGCTGGGAATGCTTTGGCCTGAGTTCAGGAATGCAGCAGTGAGGACGAGGCACTTGTCACTGTTGTGCCAGAGATGCCAGAACCAGCTGGGAGCTGGCACTGGGCACAGAGGGCTGGGGTTGGTTTGGTGGGGGTTGAACCCAAAAGCCCTGGAGTGCCCCCTCCACGAGGAGCAGATCCAGCAGATCCTGCCCCAGCTCTGAAAGGCCCATCCAGAGGAAAGCCCTGCCTGGAACAGGGCAAAACTCGCATTATTTGGTGCCAGAATCAGATCCCAGCCTGCAGCAAGGGTTTCTCAGGGTAACCCCCACTGCTGTTGCTCCTGCAGGGCTGCCGAGGTGCAGGTGGAGCCAAGGGAGATTCRGGAGCCAAAGGAGACAAGGTACGGATTCCTGAGCTCGTGCTGCCTCCAGCTGCTCCCTCTTTGCTCTGAGGAGCTTCATCCCAGCTCTGGCTGGGCTGGGGTGGCTGCCCAAGGACCCTGGGGACCTGCTGGATTTTAGGGGACCGTGAGAGGGTC